AGAGAAGTCCTTATGGGGAATCAGGCTTACTCTGCTCACCTCTCTAGCTTCGACAACACAAAGTCTGCTTCGACTATCAAGGCACCCGGGAAATAACTTGTCACAAGAGTGTGACAAACATACAACAGAAGTAGAGGAAATGACATCCAGCCCTCGACGCTCATGTGACCTTATGCAGTTGCGAGCGCCGTAAAAGCCTTACTAAATCTAAAAACTAAAAGTACAGTGCTTTTCTCACGTAAAATCTAAGAAACATCTCTCTCTCTCTCTCTCTCTCTCTCTCTCTCTCTCTCTCTCTCTCTCTCTCCCTCTCCCTCTCCCTCTCTGAATGTACATAAACAATCATTCTCTTTCTCTCTCCCATCGACTGTGTATGAGTGTGTGTGTGTGTGTGTGCATGTACCGTACTCTAAATAGTTTATTAATGTGTGCCCCCTTTTGTTTTCACATGCGAGATGCGTCGTGAGCCGCGTGTTCCAAGGAAGGATTAAAGCAGTGTGTACGTGTATGTGTGCGTGTGTATGTGTGTGTGAGGGTGAGAGGGAGGAGAGAGAGTGAGTGAGAGAAAGAGGGCGATGAAAGAAGATAAAAAAGAGAAACAAGAGAGAAGGGACAGAGGGAGACAGAGAGAGAGCGAGAGAGAGCGAGAGAGAGCGAGAGAGAGCGAGAGATAGAGAGAGAGAGAGAGAGAGAGAGAAGGCATGTCTTTGTTGATCACGTATATATGTTTTCTGCAACATATGGAGTTTAACAATGAATACAGATGAAAGTAAGATTGTTGGGGGGTTTTTAATGGAGGTTATCTCAAAAGATCTGAGAGACGATATCGGAAGGATAAGATCTATTACATTGGCCAACAAAATTTAACTTTTTTCGGAGGCATGGAGTTTGAGACTTGATTTTTTGTAATTTGAATATTTCGAGGGCGCTGAACCAAAAATGGCATCAGTTTTGCTCTTGCACGTCAAGGTTTTTCTCTACGCCATAAGCATTGTTTTCGTGTTGAATAAGCTAAAATAATAACAAATACCAACTTTGTTCAGGGCAAGGAAAATAATGTGAGACATCCTGCCTTTTTTAAAATTCATATCCTATCATGTCAGTCTTCAATTTCTCAATAGCAGTGGGTACAGCATACAAAAATAATGCCCGTATCTTGACACTCTCTTTTGCGAGATAGTCTGGAGTGTGTCTGTCTGGACAGTCTTTTTGAAAGCTTCAACAGTAATCTACCATTTTGTTGGTGTCTCATTGGCGTTGATATTTCTCCTCCATCGTCGTAAAGTCTTTGTGAAATAATGTCTGGGATCAGCTTTCTGAAAGAGGGGGGGGGGGGCATCGAAAGCACCACAGACCTAATTTTCTTGTAACTGGGATGAGGAAAAGCTGTACCTTGCAACATACTCGAAACAGGCCCCCTCAAAGTCCAGGGTTTTCATGAATTGTTTCCTCAAGCATAGTTTGATATGACGTGGGGGGGGGGGGGGGGGGAGACGATATTTTCCCCTCAGCATAAGAGGTTTATTGATGGTATTCTTTTCTCCAACTGTTAGAGCTGTTCTCACTGATCTTTTTTTTTTCTTCCCAGTATATTTCCTTGACTATCCCACAGACAAACAGATTATAGATATTATTTTTTAAAAGATACTTTGTATTGTCACCTTGTTGGTTAAATAAAAAGTTGACCATTTTCAGATCACACAAATCTTATACTTATAGCACTGGGCCCTGTTATCAAGCCAATTCGGCACTATTTTTAAGTGCATATGATTTAAATCATTTATTCTCTTTTAACAGAACCGATCAACCGATACGAACGAACCCAAATGAATTTTTTCGGTATAGCACACACTAAAGACTTGTTTTTTGGACTGTCCAAAAAAAGTTTCCACTCATTCAGACCATTGTCAGGTACACACAATTATAAACCTGGTAGGTTGTGACAGAAGACAAAGTCTTTGTACGTTGCAAAGTAAAATGTATTGTAATAATTCCTCTTTCCTACTATGATAAAACTATTTTTACAACATTTTAAAACAGATTTTATATTCTTTTAGTAAGTTTTAGTCTTGACCCCTTAAGTTCTGATCAACCGTTGTCAAATCATTCAATTCTGGAGGACTAATACAACTGGAACTTGAAGCGATTTGGGTGAAAAATTTGAGTTTCATCCCTATGCGCACTACTTGTACAAAATCTCTTTTTAAAAACTATTTTTACGACAAAATATGGTTTTTACAGGCAAACCAATACTTTTGCCAGATTGTTTGGCTTTCTCCTGCAAAGATTGAAGGTCAAAATGGATAGTAGTTGAGTGACATTTTTGTAGGGCATGTGCAGGGATATTATTGTGTTTTATAAATTATTACGTTTATAGCGTACGTCAGGTCAGTCTTAGTGCTGCTACCATAATGACAGTAGATGGTACTACCTGCAGCTGTTCCTACTGCCTTGTAGGTGCATACGGGAGTATGAAAGGTTAAGGGAGTAAACCCTAAACAAATCCGGAGGGATGGCACCAAAGGCAGCCGACAGGGAGGAACGATCCGAACTATCTCCTGGCAGCCCCTGCAACTTTACTGGTTCCAAATGTATTGACCTCGTCTCTCCTTTAGATTAAATCGGCTAAGTCGCGAGGGAGCTCGTGCAAATTGGGCAAGGCACGTTTTCCATATAGTCAGGCCCAGGCGTTTAGCTTAGTCAAGATTTCAAGAGCATTTCTGGGAGGACGCTGCAAAAGAGCAAATACCGCGGATCAGACCCACAGTTCAACCACAGCTACAACAGCATTTATATGATTATGGAGAGGACACGTCATCCTTGTTGAGACGAGCAAGGGAAAAAACAAGGGAGGTGGCAGTTTACGGGTTGTAAGACCTCCTTATTTGGCGAAACAGGATGTTGCCACAGGTCACCTTTGACGATGGGAGTGACTATTCAGTCACATTGATCAGCTACCGCCCGTCTCAAACTGGGCAGCCCCCAGTCAGTAAGGTTCTGATCCGCCACGTCTGTTTGCTTCTATGGATGTATGGAGCTAGGACAAAAAACCGAAAGGCAGACATTAAATTCAGCACCAGGCAAAAACGAGTAAAACTAACCCCATGGAAACTGAGGACCTGGAATGTTTGAACAATGACAACCGGAATGGACACTACAAACCTGGAGAAAATAGAGGACATCAGAAAGACAGCAATCATAGACAGGGAGCTCACACGACTCAAAGTAGACATCACTGCCCTGCAAGAGACAAGACTTGATAACTCTGGTACCATCAGGGAAAGAAACTACACATTCTTCTGGAAGGGTCTTGGGGAAGATGAGAGGAGAATCCATGGTATGGGCTTTGCAGTACACAACAGATTTCTGAACAGGATCAGCACCCCCCAAGGTATATCCGAACGTATCACTGTCATGGAAATGGAAACCAAAACTGGAAAGGCTCACTTCATCAGCGCCTACGCCCCAACCCTAACAACAGAAAATGAGTTTTTAAAAAAGACCAGTTTTACGAGGAACTTCAGGATGCAGTCAACAACGTCCCAAAAGCAGACCAACTGTTTCTCATGGGCGACTTCAATGCAAGAGTAGGTACTGAAAACAAAGTATGGCCCACCTGCCTTGGACCTTTTGGGCTCTGAAAAATCAACAAGAATGGCCAGAGACTCTTAGAATTCTGCACAAATAATGTAACAACCTTTGCATCACTAACACATTCTACAGTGGCAAGGACAGACACAAGATTTCTTGATGCCATCCAAATTCAGGCCATTGGTACCAAATCGACTTCATTCAACGTCAGAAAGAAAGATGCCAACATGGTAAAGCAAACAAGATCCTTCTATAGTGCAGACTGCAACACAGACCACCTTTTAGTTATAGCTAAGGCAAAGATAGTCACAAAGAAAACCCCAAGAGCTAAAAAACAAAAGAAACCTAAGATCAACATAAGAAATACCAAAGACCCAGCGATAAAGGCAAAATTTCAAGAACATGTTAAAGAAGAGCTCCAACATCTAGATAGCTCATCCCCAGACACCATGTGGAATAGCATGAGATCAACAATTTATAATTCTGCGTCGATTACTTTTGGAATAGAAAGACCTTACAAGGAGGACTGGGTTGAGGCCAGTGCATCAACACTCGCACCTCTACTCGAGAAAAAGCGTAGGATTCTGATAGAACACAACACAAAACCAACAGAGAGTACAAGCAACAACTACGTGCTGCTAAATCCAACCTTCAAAGAAAAACCAGAAAGTGGGCCAATCAGTGCTGGGATAAGTTATGCTCAGAAATTCAACAGGCCAGCGATACAGGTAATATCAGAAAAATGTATGAAAACATCAGACCAACAGCAAACAAAGTGGCACCTCTAAAGTCTGCGACAGGTGAACAGCTGACAGACAAGAAGAAACAAATGGAAAGATGGGTGGAACATTATTCAGACTTATACTCAGAGGAGCGACATGTTGATAGACAGCTACATGAGGCCATTCCTCAGCTCTCCGAAATGTCACAACTTGATACAACACCAACAAAAGAAGAACTCTCCTCTACAATCGATGAACTCGCTTGCAGAAAAGCAACAGGGAATGACAACATACCTGCTGAAGTGCTGAAAGAGAACAAAGAGACCCTCCTCCCATATCTCTACAAGCTACTAACAACTTGTTGGCTGAAAGCAGAAATTCCATATGACATGAGAGATGCCAAAATCACCCCACTTTACAAAAACAAAGGGGACAAAGGAGATGGCAACAACTACAGAGATATCTCACTGCTAAGCATCACTGGAAAAGCCTTGGCTAGGATCATCCTGAAGCGACTTCAGAAACTAACAGAAAGAGTCCTACCAGGGAGCCATTGCGGTTTCAGATCAAACCACTCAACAATGGATATGATCTTTTCTATTCGTCAGCTACAAGAAAAATGCAGGGAGCAACGACTACCATTACATACTGCGTTCGTCGATCTGACAAAAGGCTTTTGATACAGTCAGTAGATCAGGACTTACATGGTGCTAGGAAAAATTAGCTGTCCCCCAATACTGCTACAGCTCATCATCTCACTCCACGAAGATATGAAGGCCACCATTCAGTTTGACGGTTCAACATCAAACAGTTTCAACATCAATAGCGGAGTAAAGCAAGATTGTGTCTTAGCACCAACCCTTTTTAGCACTTATTTTGCTGTCTTACTGCAACACGCATTAAAAAAGTCAGGAGGGGAAATCTTCCTACATTGGAGAACTGATGGGTCGCTTTTCAATCTTGCTCGACTCAAGGCCAAGAGTGCCAAGACCAAGATCAACAAAACAACAGTACGAGACCTTCTCTTCGCCGATGATGCTGCTCTTGTTGCTCACAGTGAATCAACCCTACAAACAATGATGGACCGCCTATCAACAGCATGCAAGGTTTTTAGCTTGGTCATCAGTGTTAAGAAAACAGTCACCCTTACCCAAGAAGGTGCAGAGCAGAGCCATATAATATGGCTGAACGACATTGAACTTGGGACAGTGGACAAGTTCTGTTACCTGGGGTCTACCATCAGCTCTACAACATCACTTGATTATGAGATCAACATCAGGATAGGGAAAGCAGCACCAACTTTTGGAAGGCTGACAAAACGAGCATGGGAAAACAAAAGATTAACCGTCAAATCAAAGATCAAGATATACGAAGCATGTGTCCTCAGCACACTCCTTTATGGATCTGAAACATGGACCTTGTACAGCAGACAAGAAAAGCGTCTCGACATTTTCCATCTCAGATGCTGCTGCAAGATCTTAGGCATTTCGTGGCGTGACAAGGTTACAAATGTTGAAGTGTTGGCACCGGCAAACCTCCAGAGCATGATGACTATCCTGTGTTTAAAAAGATTGAGATGACTTGGCCAGGTCAAGAGAATGGATGACAACCGGATTCCGAAGCAACTTCTCTATGGAGAACTTGCCCAGGGAAAGAGACAAAGAGGAAGACCAAAATTGAGGTACAAAGACACCTGCAAAAACAGCTTATCTAAGCTTGGAGTAGATGTTAACATCTGGGAAGAAATAGTTGAGGACAAGAAAACATGGAGGAAAATTATAAAGGAAAGAACTAAAATGCTAGAGAACAGCCCAAGAAACAACCAGGCTGAGAAGCGCCAACGACAAAAGGAAAACAGCGGAAATACAGAGCTTCGATCCACGACACTGACATGCAAGCACTGCCACAGAATCTGCGCTTCAAACATAGGAAGAATTAGCCATGAAAGAAGCTGCATGAAGACAACCTTGAGACCATCTTAAGCTATATATATACGTTTATAGCATAAAAAGATCGGCATAATTCAACTTCTTTTGATCATTTATTTGTTATTATAATTCAGACAGTTAAAGGTTCAACACTTTACTCTGATGCATTAAAGCGGAGTTTTAAATCAATGTATAGGCCACGCTGTGTGAAAACTCCTGAATTTTGACATATTTACATGAAAATACACCTTTTTTTCATAGAGCAAAAACTAAAGCCATTTCTGACATCAGCGACCCCAAATGCCGCAAAATGTGTGTTGGCCAATATTATTGTTACTTGCACTTGCATTTCATTTGCTGGAAGATCGAACAAGAAGGCTTTTCGATTCATACACCAAGAATTAAATTTCGAAAAAGCAATAAACATTTTTTTATATAAAGATGCTGCTTTATGACTCTGAAAGTGGGGGTATAAAAAAATTGGGACTACATTGACAATATTCAGGTAAAATTCTGGAAAACCTTTTTGGGTAGCCAAGCTACCCCAATTAGTTCTGAGAGAAGTGGGAAGAACCAATCTATGCTCTGATTACATGCATAGAGTCACTAAATTCTGGTGCAAACTTTTTTTCTTTTGGTATACATGTAAGTGTTTTACGGCACTCGCAACTTAACGCGGGACACATTTAACTGTCCTCAGAGAAATTCGCGCGCACAACCCGCAAGTTGCGTGCGCAACCCGCAAGTTGCGTACACAACTTTTGGCCTCAGCGCAACTTTTGCGCAACTTTTG